AACTCACCTTGAAATCATAATTGAAACTGAAGACTTCGGTCACTTAAAAATAAAACTAGGGATATGTTCAGAATTGTGCTCTACTTAACTGTTATGCTGTGCATAGTATGCATTTTTTTTAGATTGTATTTCAAGCTGATCTGCTGTATTTGTCTTAATTGTTGTGGATCCTGTGGCCCACAGTGCAATGTGAACTGAACCCTTCTTTTCCATTGTGATGAATGAACAAATGAACTAGAGGGTACATCAAATATTTTTAGGCATTTTTCTCTTGCCTTTTTTGAATGTAATATAAAATATCTAACTGTGTATTATTTATTTGTATATAATGTGTCTATTTTATGTTTTAAAAATAGCGTAGTTCTATATAGTTACATGTTATATTAAATAAATACCATTGTGTATCATTTAAAAAAGGTTCCCTCACTCATTTACTCATCCTCACTTTGTTCCAAACCTGTTTGGCTTTCTTTCTGTAACACAAATAATATGTTAAAAGATGTGCACAACAAAAAAGATGTTCATTCATAGCATTTTGTCCCATATAATGAAAATGTCTGCTGACGGAGGCTATCGTTCTGTCTCACATCTGTTCTTTGGAACAGTATGAGGGTAAATAAATTAATAAATGATGACAGAAATATCATTTTCGGGTGAACTAGCCCTTTAACATTAACATTCGTTTCAAAATAAAACATGCAGCATAGCAAGGTAATGTTAGCATGTCACATTCTACTTTTTGAAATGTTTATCTATACATATTACGTGCTTGCATACTATTATGAAAATAGCAAGCAGATGTATTGTACAGTATGAACTAGTTTTCCGTTCTAAACATCTAGCCAGCCGTGACCATGGCACAAGATGCTACCAGTTCTTCTTGCCTATGTTTGGTATGTAATGAGCCGGTAGACTGGGGCTGTTCGGCTTGGCTATAATTAATAGATTACTTTGAGGTGAAATATTGATGACGCTAAGCGGCTCATATGTTTTTTGTTTACTGGGTACGGTTCATTGTGTGTGAAAACTGACAAGATGGTTTGGAGGGGTTTTTTTTGTAAATGTGTGAAGTATACGTCTGTTTATCTCACTCAGACAGAGTGTGTAGTGTACTGCTGGGAGCCTTATGCTTAAGTACAGTGTGCTCAGCCCTAGTGTCGTTATGGACTGTGAGCTTTGTGTAACGTTCATTAGGGAGATGTTTATTCTTTGATGTTGGTGTGCTTGGCAGAGTAAGCGGGCCTTTATTTCTGTGGAGGTATGTGTGCTTTGTGTTTATAGCAGCAGAATTGGCTTGTTCATAGGATGGTGTATGTCTGTGTGTGGGCTCTCAGGCCAAATGTGTATGTTTGGGAGGACGGGATGTGTGGACAGATGGTCTGTGGTGGCTGTCTGCAGGGGTGGGGACCTCATTCTGGTGCACAGACACAAATTCGGCACACGGTTATGTCTCAACATCCAATTATCAGGCTCAAACTCTCCCCCCTATGGAGCAACAAATTAAAGTCTCTTTATGCACCCCTATTTCTCATATCCATTAATAATTTGTCATAATAACTGCAAAAATAAATTAAAATTTATATTATATTTATTTCATATACTTCATTTTCTCAAAGTTTATCTTGTTTAAAAGATGTTTAAAGTGAAAAAAGACCAAAACACTGATGAATGGGGGGTTTTGTTGTGTTTTCTCTGTATTGGCTTACTGACCAGGATCTGGCCTGATTTCTGTGTAATCTGTCTTCCTGTGCCAAGAAGAAGGTGTGTTTGTGGTGTGTTAGTATAGAAGGAACACAGTTCTTGGGAATGAGTTTATGGTCAGAGATGAGTTGAGGGATATTTTAATGCCATGTTTTGCCCAGGTTCTAATCTGCTTTATGACCTCCTATGAACTCATTTTATTCTCAGCCAAAGGCTTAGCAACAGAATGGAGAGAAACAATTTCAGAGTTTTAAAGCTGGAATGGATAATTTTTTTCTTTTTTACAGTTTTAGATTTATGAGTAACTTAGGTCTGTGGTTAACATTACATTAGGAGACTTATGTTATGACTTATGCAGTACAACATAAATGATACACAATCATACATTAAAACATAAACCTTTAAGTCAAATTTTTTTGTTAAACATATTTTGCTAAATACAGACTATGCCTACAACAAGGATATGCTAGATTAATCGAATAACTATTTCAGCCCTTCAGTCTTCAGTCCAACTTTTTAGCATCTTGTGTTTTTAAAACCCCAGTCACAAGTAATGCTAACCACAGACCTATACTAATTAGAAAACCAACATTAAAAAAATAAAATAAAATAATTAAAAATACTTAAGGGAACCAATGGCAAATTAGCCTTCTGAGTTGGCCAACAAGCTGACATCATGGCTAAACAGCTCTATTGGTGAGTTCCAGTCATATCGGAATGATCATATGTATAAGTTGAGCACACATGAACACTTTAATTGATATTGGCAAAAACTCATTATTTCAGCTCTTGTGTTCCTGTAGCTCAAGCAGTAGAGCATGGTGCTAGAAACAAACAGATCATGGGTCCATTTCCCAGGGAATGCATCAGCTGATCAGACATATACCTCAAATGCAATGTGAGTCACTTTGGATAAAAGCGTCTGGCAAATGCTTTCTGAGTATCATGTAAAAGATTAATTGTTATTGATTATTAGAAGTTGTGATGTATGATTAATATTGATCTGGAACCATGTAGTTTGTGCGTAATTTATGTCCTGATGATGAAAAATAGCAATAACACACTACTACTTTTGCTGGTCTATAAGAAGAAAGACTTGTGCGATCTTACTATATTTTCCACCATTCTTTGTGGAAGCATAAGAATGATAATATATACCAATAAAGCATAAATGACACACCTAATGTGCATCTTTTGCTGTTCATTATGTTGAATTAGCACTGAAAAACAGAAAGAAATATAAAATCTTGTTTTGAGAGTCCATTTTACTCCGATCAAAATCACTTAAAGGCCCTTAATGTTGCCATTACCACTAACAGAAGCAATGCTGAAATCACCACAGTGCTTAGACTCTAATAGAAATTCAATCTTCAAATTGTTTACTTATGATGGTCTCTGCACATTAAAATTAGACTTTGCCTGTAAGTTACACACTACAGCTTTAAACAAGATAAGTTTAAATAATCTGCTCAGTGTGAGATTCTGGTGGTTAGAATTATATTTTGTTCTTTTTTAATTAAGTCGTTTTGCAACATTATAAATACAAAATGAATCTTCCTGACACACACAAGGAGTTCATAACAGTAAATGTGTTTATACAAAAAGCACCATGTCGTGTGAATGAACATTTTAGCTGGATAAGTGAGTATCATTTCATTAACCTGCTGTTATAGGGTAATGACAAATAGACCATTTTAGCATCTATTAAGAGTGCTGGATTTAATAATCTAAATCTGCACATAAGGACAAAAAAACTGGCAGGCATATTTGCTCACAGCATGGCAGGGATTTGTGTGTATGTGTGTGTGTTTCGTGACCATAATCAAACAGTTTGTGCGATAAAGAGCAGTATATGTACGAGTGTGTGTTGCATTATCACTGTAGGCTATAACATTTTCACATGCGTACCTGCCTGTGTGTACTCGGTGCCATTAAAAGCTATGATTCTGTGTGTATATCTGGCCTCGAAAGGGCAGACAGTGACAGATGGGCCTGTATTGCAGCGGAAGAGCTCGATGGTGTTATTTAGAGAATGCTGTATGCTTTTGTCTTGTTTTTCTGATGGAAAGACCTTTCACTTTGCCCATCCGGCCCCAGAGAGCCCCTTCATCACGAGGAGCACTATCGACCATGTCGTGCTGTCTTCACCGTTCATCAAGATACGTGTCCGCAACTCGAAGGAGACGACCTCCTCCCCGTGCCCTTTCTGTGTGGGGTTGCGGCAGGTGGCCGAGCCCCCCTCTCCTCTCCCGCTTCCGCCCCACTAGACTCTTCCCCTCCAGAGAAACTCGGTGTTCCTGTGGCTGTGTGAATCTCACGCTCCGGGGCCGAGTGCGATTGGCTCGGCTGCAATGTGAATTTTTTAGGCAGCTCTCCAGAGGGCTGGAATTCGCCTTTGGGGAGTTAGGGATGTAGGACACAGGCTTTCCATCTATTTATCTGTTCCTCTTTCTGTTTAGGAGATGAAATAGGAAGCGGTCCATAGGGGACGGAAGCATTTTCTTTCTTCTCTCAATTCGTTGGATGAAGTGACAGCCGCCCTGTCATAGCTGTCACCAAGAGAAAGCCAGACCCCGGTGTGGCTGTACTTTGGCACTGTAAACTGTTTGTGGTGATGTGCTGTGGCGTTCTCGGGGGGTAAACGCTTGACTGAGGCATCTGCTGCCGTTTTGAACACACCTGAGCTCTGCGGCGGCAAAACTAGGAGCTGGAACAACAACAAAGCCATCGTAGATTTGAGGTTATCCTCTTGAAATCCCAGTAATCCTCTTTTTCATGGACACAAACACTCCTGAGCTGCACTCAAGCAAAAACTGTCCTCCTCTTAAGGCCCGTTCACATCAAGGACGATTACTATAAAGATAGCTATAACGATAAAGATATTAGCGTCCACACCAATGGACAAAAACATTCTGTTCTGTTTATGCAAGTTGCAGTTATGTCGTCTGCTGCTTTAAATGCTTGAGCTTCTTAAAGTTGAGTGGATTCTGAACAGCTGTCAATGTTTTGATCATTTATCAACCAGAGAAAATCATCCTGAAAGTGATTCCAGTGATATTGTTCCTCTGTGATTGTGATGTGGGTGTCATAGAATTAGAATGATTTTCAAAACTTTATCTTTAACATTATCGTTATAGTTTATCCTTGGTGTGAACAGGCTTTTACTGACCTACTGTACCGATGACAAATAATCATCTAGCTAATGCTCTATAAATAACATGTATATGAAGCACTGAATCTTCTTGGTTGAGTTATGATGTAATTTGTGTATCTGTGTTTGGATTTGATTTGATTGACAGGAGCTGTCCACTCTGCAGTGTGAGGTGTGCATCCTGGTTTTCTCGTTGACGGATAGGCGTAGCTTCCACCGGATCGCTCAGCTCCGCCTACTGTTGAGGGAGACGCTGCCGCACACTCCCATCATCCTAGTGGGCAACAAGAGTGACCTTGTGCGCTCCCGTGAGATCAGCACAGAGGGTAAGCCTGTTTTTAATCTAACTCCTTGAGCTACAGATCCCATAATTCAACTTGATTTGCTGCATAGCTGGCGGAGTTTAAAGGGAATTAAAAGAATAGGGTCAAATGGAAGAATAACATTTTATAGTATATGAAACCTTGTAAACACAAATACAGAAAGACAGAGAAAGATAGACTGATAGTAATAGTAATATGCTAGTAATGCAATATAAATAGAACACAAAGACCAATTATAATTCAGAATGCAACTAGATGTAAGGAAAAGGACCAATTGGAATTGGAGATGGAGATATTAGAATTACACCACTGTCAATTACACTGTCTATAATGGAAACATTATAGGCGTTGGTTTAACGGTCAGAATAGTCCAAATACTTTCAAAATATGTAATTAATAAAAACAGAGAAATTAATTCATGATACACTGCTGTTGAAAAATTGGGGTCAGGATTTTTTGGTTAAAGAGATTAGGATTTTATTCAGCAAGGATACATTAAATTGATCAAAAGTGACTGTAAAGAGCAAGCCAGCTTTTTTTTGTCATGCTGAAGGTGTCCAGTGTAGTCTTATGAGATTGTGAATGCTGAACAAAAGTCAATGGGAGATTTCCAAACCTAATCTTACATTTCCTAAAAGGTATAAAAATAGATCAACTAGGAAGCAGTGCAAAGGCTGGAATCATCAATAAAACAAAGTATAAATGGAGTCTGTATGTTCAAGTTGCTATGAAATGGAAGTAGTGACAGATCTTTCTTTCTGTTATTATGCCGTTCATCTCAGTTAATTGTATTATTCGAAAAGAAAATATAGGGCTTGCTGTCAGTTGTAAGAAAGGGGCTAGGTTTAAGCAGACTAAACAATTGGAAAAGTCCGGCATACATAACCAGAAAGTTTCGCCAGAGGATCGACTTAAGACATTTTGATAAAAAAAAAAATGATGAGGTCAATATAAATAAAATAAATAATAATAATAAAACATGCATGGATGAATAATTCACAATACGTACATGCATTTAGAAAATTATGACTTTAAGTGCTTTGAAAATAAGCAGAAAATTGTGGGAAAATGTATGAGCAATTTCAATACAGTAATTTAGAGTACAGATCCTGTAATGCAACAGGTATTTTGTCCACACAAGGCTCCCTGTGGTCCACCTCTGCCTCTCTTGTGAGTCATCTATATTAACCTTGCTGCTATGACTCAGCTTTTGTCTAAATGCTTCTATCTCCATCTGGCTGTGTTTATATAAGGGGCTTCATGGATTGCTGGCAAGAAAAATCACTCAGCTTATCGGCATGAACAGGTGCTGCTAGGAGATGTGCATTTGTAAAGTGGGCACATTGGCCATTTAGGGCTGATATGGAATATAGATGAGCTTTGCTGGTGTTTTCTCAGCAGGGCAGAATTTAGTTCAACTGTTAAGTTTCTGCCACATCATTTTAAACAAATGTATTTCTTTACCTACAGTGTATTTGAAAACGGTCTATTTAAAAAATTAGTTTAAAATACACATGGGAGGATGGTTGCTTACAATTTAAAATTATATATATTTTTACATTTATATACGATTGTTTGCAGAATTTCAGTTAAATATGCAGTATTAAAAGTTGTATTTAAAAGTAGCATTTAAAAAATACATGGCTCAAAAACTCTGAATGGGCACGTGTCCCCTCAGTGTAAACTGGCATAATGCGTCTGGCTCTCTCACTCTCTCTCTCCCCCCTCTTTTCTTCTCATCTGTTTGTCACACTTGGCATGTTTGGGACATTTTTTTACGTTCGCTCTGTATTATCTCTCACCCACAATGTGCTGGTGTTACTATCTTTATGTGTGTGTGTATACGTATGCCAATGCTGGTACATGCACATATATATATGTGCATTTATACAATTCTTATCCGTATATTTCTTGAACACCAAATCACCATATTGATTCAAATAGACTGATTTCAGCATAGAATGAGTTCTGAAGGATCATGTGACACTGAAGATTAAAGTAGTGGCTGCTTTGCATCACATGGAATTTTGGATTTTAAAATATATTAAAATAGAAAAAAATATTAATAATATTAAGAATTATAATAAAATTAAGTTTATAATTTTTTTTTACTGTATTTTTGATCAAATAAATGTAGCCTTGGTGAGCACAAGAGACTTTAGAAAAACATTTTTAAAAAACTTACAATCTCCAAGATTTTACTACATGTTTCCTTTCAATGGTATTGGCCTGAAAAAAAATTATTCATGTTTTTATGTGATTTTGGCTACAGATACAATATTTAAGATACCGTTGTGTTCAGGTTTTAGAGATGATGGTCTATTGCAATTCATGCAAAACAGGAAATATCTGCCTGAGAATGTTACTGAGATGGCTAAGAGTGCCTTTAAAGAGACTTTGATAGCACTATTCTCATCTACGTAGCTGCACAATGTGAATGTATCATGCATGTCAGGGGCACAAACTGTGTGGGATGAGTTATGCTCCAAAGTTGAATACTTTTAGGCTTAGGGGTTTGTTCAGATCTTCAACCTTAAGTATGAACGTAGGACGCACTAGCAAGCACGTAAGATGGGTGTGGCAGGGAGAAAAGGACCTTGTAGGAAGTTCAGAGGACAGTTATGCGGACACATCTGTGCTCAGCACATTTATTCCTCCGGGTGCTGTAGCCAGTGTGGTCATCAATATGGAAATGTTTAGAATCTTTTTCTGTCTGCATCTATCTTCCTGTCTCCGATACGAACACACAAGCACACACTCGCTATGTACTCAGCTTCATGTAAATGGGTTTAATTTATGTGGTGTATTTGCGAGTCAGCTGTCTGAAGCTGACATTCAAGCCTTATTTAAGCAGGCTAACAGACATTGGATGCGTACGTGCTGTAAGGTCATACTGACTAAATCATTGAAATAGAGATGCCCAACCTTATACTGGAGAAGATGAGTCTATAGCAATAAACAGAATTTACAACTCTGAAGGACCATAATGCTGCACACATGTGATAAATCTCCTGTCTGTTGTGCCAGAACAAATGGGTTTCCCTTCATTTTTTTTCTTTTATAAAGATAACAGGGTCCATTTTATAGGGGTCATATGTGATTTTTTTTTCATTTATTTTTTCCCTTAAGTCTGTTTATTTTTCCCCACCTCAACCCTCACATTCAATTTAACCTCTGTCCCTTATCAATTTTAAATTTTTGCATTTTATCCTAAGCAACTTTGGCGTGTGCATGTGTGCATTATGTGCACACACATATGCCACACATATGCTAAAGTTGCAAAACATTTTTCTTTTCAAGATTGTTTGATGAATAGAACATTCAAAAGAACAGCATTTATTTGAAGCAGAAATCTTTTGTCTTTTTTTTCTGTCACTTTTGATCAATTTGAGTGCATCCTTGCTGAATAAAAGTATTAATTTCTCTCTCTCTCTCTCTATCTCTCTTTATCATCCAAAAAAAAAAAAAAAAATCCTGACCCCAAACTTTTTAGCGATCATGTATTTTCTGTTTCTGTATTCCTTGTGAATCTGTCACAATGTAAAAATAATGTTATTTAAAAATGGGGTATCAACAAATAATACTGGATCCTAATTCAATAAGCTTTATTTGCTATTTAAGACCTTGCTTATGTAGTGGGTTTGCTATTGGATCCAATCTAGTTGCCACTGCTCCATTCTACAATAACAGTCTCTCTGCAAAGCCAGTGACAGATTCACAAAACAATACGTGCTGAAATGTGTCGCATAAACTGCTAAGGTTGAATCGAAATGATCATGGTAAAAATAAACATCAGTCACTTTTTTCCTATAGCTGTGATCTTTCAAAAGGATATGATGCCAGGATCAGCAAAATGTTTGATTGGGCTTGCCATTGCCATTACACACTGTACCACCTGTAATAGTATCTTCTTATTTTGGTACAAGAATAACAAAATAATACTGAATATTACCATCATCTTATTTTTATTTATTTTGTTTTTTAATCTATCCTTCATCATTTCTTTACTTTGTCAGGCCAGGCCAAGTTGCTGAACACTGAATAGGCGTAGTTGACGTGTAAATGTGGGTGGTTATGTGTGAATGTTCAGATTTCTGAACAACCTGCCTTGTTTCAGTGCTGTTATTGTTTATTAAAACTTGAGCTATTAATTATTGTTTTAGTTAATTGAAGTTAAGGTTAAATAAAATAATATAGATTTAAATTAAAATTATTACCTTATTAGAATTTTTCTCATTTTCATTTAAGTTAAAGTGCTAATATAACTAAAAGTAAAAATAAATTTAGGCTATAAAAATATTTGAAAATAAACATGACGAAAGCACATAACAAAATGACTAAAACATGAACTAAAATGAAAATGAAAACTGGAAATATAAAAATGAAAGCTAATTCAAAATATTACAAAATATTAAAATAATACTGGTTTCAGTAAAGTCTTTGAACTGAGGAAAAATTAAGTGCTAAAGTGTATTACATGAAACTAAAATCTTTATTTTACATTTTTCATGATACAACCCCTACGAAACTACGTCATCTCTGGATTGGAATGATAAATGTTGTCTGTTTTTCAGTTTTCTCAGTCTCCTCCTCCTCCTCCTCGTCTGTTTGTTTCTTCTCTCAGGTCATGTCACTCATCCACAATGGTGCAGTCTAGTCGACATCTAAAGTGATCTAATTCAATCCTGTCCACACACCTCCGAACAAACACTCCCACACATACATTTAGCATTTATTTCTCTTTTCCTACAGCCCTCTGTGCTCCGTTAAGTCCCACTCAATTGATTCAGTTATCTAACGCTAATCTGTGTTGATATGACAAGAGAGAGATTGTCAAACTCCATCTGCGTCTGTATCACTCAACCTCTCTCTCTCTTTCTTTCTCAGAGGCGCACTCCAGCGCAATGATGTTTGGCTGCCTGTATCTGGAGCTCTCCGTCTCTCTGGACCACCACACTAATGACCTACTGGAAGCGGCTGTGAGAGCGGCCCGGGGCCACAACCTGGGGCCCGGCTGGACAGAGGGGTCCCCCACAGTGGCCCGCCGAGAAAGCTTGACCAGCAGAGCCAAGCGCTTTCTGTCAGGGCTTGTTCCGCGCACCCACCTCGGCCGAGACAGAGACAGGGAGGGCGGCAGAGACAGAGACCTCAGCAGACACAGAGGAAGCAGGATGCTCAGGCAGAAATCACGTTCTTGTCATGACCTCAGCGCTCTAATGTAACCGAAAACGACCGAGAGCGAGAAGGAGAGGAGGTGTTAAAGGAGGCTAGAGGAGGGATTGAAGAACTGCATGTAAGATTGACAGGTGAAGAGATAAGAGACAGTGTTGCCGCACCAATTCACAGAGGAGATAATCCTCCAGAGATATTACCTAAACTAGTATGTGTGAAATTAGTTGTTTATACCAGTCTCTCAGTCATTAAACGTGACAGTGGTGCAGCGAAACCTAGCAGTATATAAACTATCCTGACAGAACATGTCCTTTAAGGTTGCGAGAGGCCTGTAAACAGACAGACCGACACAAATATAGCACTGGATCTCAGTATAATGAGTGGATCATGCTGGCTGTGGCAGGCTGTTAGTGGTGATAGAGTAGCTCCTGTAGTAGAAGCATGCTGACACAGCACGGATGCAGAACCGTAGTAAAAGTCCTGTTGTAAAAAAAAAAATTAAAAAGCCCACCGGCACAGAATACGATGCTTTAGTTAATGCGTGGATTCAGCGTTTTAGATTTTCTCACTCTACCTGCACAACGATAGCACGATTTCAGGTTTAGGGAAACCAAACAAAGTGATTTGAAGTGAAGCAGTCATTGAGAAACCCATACTGGTCGATAGGGCTGCACGATATTGGATTTTAAGATGTTTTGTTTTTCTGTGATGTGACAAAATACAGGAATTCACCAGATGACTTGAATAGCTATATTTGGAAAGAATGAATCATTCTAGAATAACTGAGGTGATTTTGTTGAGGAGTATATCTGCATATATATATATATATAAAATATAAAAAATGACTTTTTTTGAGTGTGAACCATCCTTTGAGGGATGAACAATTTGAGAAAAATTGAAACATTTTGTTCACAGTTGGGTGTACTCTTTACAAGAACCAACTGAAACCTGTAAAGTGAACAAAATTTTCCACTTGAGTTTTCATAGGTCATATTCCCAATGTTTTTGACCCATTTAATATGACTATAAAATAATAATAGTAATTAGGATTTTTATTGTGATTATTATTAAATAAAAATGTTAAACAAAATATGAAAAAAAATGTAGATTTTAATTAGAAATCATTTTATAGTATGACTAAACTTACAATACTGATATTTAAATAATTTCTTCATTTTCAAATATTAAACTGTAAAGCGTTTATTTTGGTGGTTTTCCACTGATGAACACACCGTGTTGTGCCTCACTCTGAAACATGCAGCGCATATATTTATTTCATTAAATCAAAGTCCTAGCAATTTGATAGTATCAATATTCTGATATTGTTTAGTGCAATTATTTCAATATATATCGTGCAGCCTTACTGGTCGGCTGACTACTAATCAGAATAATGTTTATGGTGGTTACGGCTCTGAGAAAACACTGTGTCCTAACCAGATGTAGTCTTGCATAGTAAGAAAAAAAGAAAATCATGTAAAGTGACCTAATACAGTTTATTTTTACACACCATTAAAGGACCAGTTTGAAATAGATTATACTGTAATAATAGACTGCTATGTAAAAAAAAAAAAAAAGGCAAATAATAGAAAAATAGCAGATGTGTAAAAACTTTGATCAAAATTTATTTTGAGGTCTGTGATCAAGAACAAATCTCTTGAGGATCTTTCATTCATTTGATACCACTAACCTAGAAAACCTTTGCAGATCCAGTAATTAGCTCCTCCTTAAAAGCGCTCGTTGGTGCTTTGTAACTTTGCTTTACTTTTAATCACAGTATCAAAGCCAGTGAGAAGATATTTGATGTTTTATACACATTTTTATGGAACCAATGAGATCTCATTGTGGGCTGGGCTATTTGGCATTGCAGCACAGAAATTTAAACCAAGCAACTGACAAAATATTGCTCTATGCCTCTATTACATCTGTTTAGGACACAGTGTTAATCACAATGTGAACTGAACTTATGACAATTCCTCTTTCAGACAAAATTATTCTTGAAGTACAATGTTTAGTGATACACATCAGGTTTATTGGCTAACCTCATCCAAACAACAGTCCTGAGTGTGGATGTTTCCTAATGCACTGTTATTGCAGAGGCATATGGCACCCGAGACATTTGCTTTGAGATTAATCGCAAAGCATTGTGCAGCATATGGGGCTGAATCCGTGCAGAACTGCGGAGGAGTGGTAATGATATTCAAGTTTTTTTTATTGTTCTAGTATAAACAGCCGGCCAGTTGCGGTAATTGCGAATTGTACCTTCAAGGGCCTTGTTTACAAGCGGAATTAGCACTTGCTAAAATAGTTTGCATACGCGGTTTCTGTAGCGTGATGAACGATTTCGAGTGAAAAAGTGGCGCACAGCTGATTTAACATCCTTTCCTTTAGAAAACACAATTTGTGGTTGGAATTAATTGGCTTGTCATAAATTTTCAGAACAGGAAGAAAATATTCAAACGTAAGCAATGTTTGTGATTAGGTACTGATGAATTTCTCCCTCAAACAGTTATTAGTGAAATGTAATCTTTGACGCACAGTAATGACTTCAGTCAATCAGGCCAAAGTACATACTCAGATATTCACCTATAATGAAGTCTTAACCATAGGGAGGCCCACTCAGAACAAAATCACTTACTAACTGATTGTTTTAAGATGTAATGGGACATTTTGCAATGTAACCGCAAAATGTTGTTGTTCTTCTGATATTAACATCCATTTAAACTCTTAATTATGTGCACTCATAATTAAACTCCACCGATGTGGTGGGAGTAATACACAGACCTGTTATTTAATGAGCATAAAATAAGAAAGCAGGCAATATTAGGTAATCAGTCTTGGCAGGGAAAGCATATTTGTCTGTAGAGAGCGCTTTGATAAAGTCCATTGAGTCAGGGCAAACTCTAGAGAACAACTTGGTTGTGTCAAATTACCGTTGAACTAATTTGACACCTCACTATATAATGAAAGCAAACCATCTTCACACTCAGTTCTGTATGACGTGAATAAACTTACTGACTCTCATGTTCCTTTATACGGGTCGATTGTAATATATAGTATTTGGTATTTAGCTCCACGCAGTAGCTAAATGCAAGTCTCAGAGATCGAAAAGGCACTTTCAATCAACGCCATAAAACCCTGGGTTCAGGTTAAAACTGTACTTTACATTTCCTCTCACTAAATAACTTGTCACCAAAAAGGACCAGAAGTTAGGACAAGCAATACTGAGAATGGCCCACTTTGTCATGTAGTCTTAAAGCATGTCTTTTTCTCATATCGTCTTTATCATGAGGCTTACTGTAATTTCACCAAATAGGACATTAGTGATAGTTTGATAGGAATTTTGTTCATTTCAACTAATATATTAGTTAAGACCCTTTCATATAAATTGCTTCAGGGCTTCAAAGCAAGTGTCATAGGCCGTCATGTGGTCTCGCAAAATATTAGTCTCAGGTTACTCCAGTCAAAGTAGATCTGTAAGTGAGATCTTGGGATGCCAATGAAAAAAAAAAAAACAGGTAAAAATAAATGGATTATTTTATTTTTTTTGCCATTTAGCCATTCAAAATTCCTTCAAAAGCATATACTTAAAGTTGGACTTTATTTATTTGCTTTGTACTATAAAAAGACATCTAGGAATGTGAAATCTTTTCTGGAAAAAAATGAGATTCTTGTACCTTCATGTCTGGTTATCATTGTCAAAGCTTTGAAAGGTCAGCTAACAAGGTCAAAGTTGAAATTGTATTAACTGTGAGCACAATGCAATCATTGATGCATTGAGCAACACTGATGCAAGTCGTTTGACAGGATTTGAACATCATTCATATCAACCCGTTATTTCCATATGATTTTAGAGGTAGTGGTTAGGGTTAGAAATATGTTCGTTTGTTTAACAATGTTCTTTAAAATCACTGTAGCCTTATTGTGAGGGTTACCACAAATTATATCCATTTGGCTATATGGCTGGAATTGTACGAGTGTTTAAGGATGATACCATGTGAGCATATTTTGAGCCATAAGAGGAGACATAGAGACGGTCAGGTTTTGTTCTGTATTTTCACCTACTCACATTTTAGACCCATCAACACATGGTCTCATGAAATCCACTGAATATGCCATAGGACCAAGCATTTCTGTGGGGGCTGGCCACACAGGCTTGTGCAACAACAATGAAAACACAACGTTCTGGAAACGTTCCGAGGTCAAACATGGCAGCAACATTCACTTGTTTCTCACTATTGATGAATGTTATCCACTCTGTCTTTGAAAATGAGAGAATAAAGACAATTTGTTATGATACCTTGGTATGTGTTTGAGATTTGTCCCTGCAATTGTGATGAGGTCTAGATTCTTGCAAGCAAACCAGCAGCTGAACCTTGCAGTGACACTCCTTGAGGTGAGGAACTATATTTGTATTAGAAAAGGTTTGATGGCTTTACTCTAAAGGCAGATGGTTGGAAACGGGACATGAGGTAAGAAAGAAAAGGGATGACAAATGTTAGTTGCCTAGTGACTGTTGTCAGGGAGACAGAGTGTGACTCTCCCCTGACCAGGCTTAGAATTTCTTACTATGTTTATTTCTTCGACTGGGAATGAAATTGCTGGAGTGGAATCTGAGTCTGCAAACATCCACATGACCAAATGGGAATACACATGCAAACACTTTATTGGTTATATAAAGTGATATATAAAAAAATCAAAGAAATATGGAGAGATTGGCACAAAATGGAAAAAGATCAAGTGCCTGGGTGATGAACTCACAAGAGTCTTTTCTGACAGCGTGAACACTATCATTATCATGAAAATATATAATTTGACTATTTATAGCGCAGTACCTTTTACGACATTTCTTAGCTATCTGCGCTGCTTTGAATTGTATATCAAGTGACCTCTTTAAAAGCTTAAAGCGCAAAATGTAGAATCTAGAGTTAGTATTATGCAGCAATGTGCTCTTTTTAAACACTATGCATCAAGTAGAAAGGCTAAACTCCTTTAAATCAGAAATATCCAATCAAATAGCCAATTTGGAACATTGACCCAAAGTAAAATGTCCATATGATTTCTCTTTACGATTCATGGCATTATTGTACCCTTTGGGTACAAGAGCGGGTTAATGCAAAGACAGCAGCTTCAGATGAAGCGTTAGTATATTTAAATCCCAGAGCTGGTCCTCGCCTCTGGCTGATAAAAGCTATTTGCATCAGAATCCAATTTCATTTTCAGACATGTGGACTGTTGTTACATATTTAACTGGCATTATGTATTTATCAGACTCATTTTGGGGAAAGTGGCAACCCAAACACATGAGTTGTTTTAAAAGTGGACTATAATTTTTGAGATATGCAAGTTTTTATAAAAGAAACATCACATCAGTGTATAAATGTCTTTAATGACAGAACACAACATCCATAATATTCTTGAGACACAAACAACAAAGCACAATATTTTGTCATATTTTACTTTACACTGAAATGCTTTTTTTTTTCTTTTCATTATTTTAGAGAAGGTTCTGCAACATTGAGTTTTCAGGCACCTTTTTAATACCACAATTCGTTCAATTCTGTCTCAAAGCATAGACTGCCATCTGGTGGAGTGATAACTAGAATAAAGTGTCATTCAAATGAACTCAAGAAGGGGCCAATATTTCTCAATCTTCAATCCTCAATCTCATTAATCGAATGCCTGGACAAAGGTAAAATAATTCAGTAGCAAGAGAAAATGTTAAAGCAATCCTGTGCATATCAACAGGCCACATCAATTTAGTAACAACTAAATTTCACTAAAATATAATGCTCAATAAAAAAAAAATATTAGTAGAACTCAAAATGAAAACATTACTGCCATTTAATTTCTCTTGTCATGTGTTCTCTGATGCCGTTTTAGTTGATCGCTCCTCATGAATCCTTTCCCACACTCTGAGGCCTCTCCTCAGAGTGCATCTTTTCATGTCGTCTTAGGGTCTCTTTCCGTGCAAACTTCTTCCCACAATGGGAGCAAACATGATCCATCTGTCTTGAATGCTGTAGTTGGTGAGTAACAAGTTTCCCGTCCGTGTTAAAGCTCTCCCCACACTCAAAGCACACATACGGCTTCTCGTCGGTGTGTGCGATCTGCCGGTGCTTCAGGAGGTAGGACGTAGAACTGAAGCTCTTTCCGCATTCATCGCAGTTTTACATTTTCTTCTTCCCAGAATGACCCTGCATGTGCAGTTTCAGGCAACTTGCTGAGCTCAGGCATTTTCCACATTCTGAGCACTTGTGGACTTTGATCCCGGCGTGAATGTCTTGATGCCTTTTGAAGGTGTCTTGACGAGTAAAGGTTTTGCCACAGGTGGTGCAGTCTAACAGAGTCTTGCTGGAATGGATTATCAGGTGGCTCCTGAGAGTAGAGGAGGACTTGAAGGCCAGACCGCATTGAGAACAGCGGTAACATCTTTTGTCGGTGTGCACCACCTCGTGCGCTTTGAGATTTGGGAGCCTAGCAAAGCTCCTACCACACTTCTTGCAATGGAAAGGTCTTTCTCCAGTGTGTGTGACCTCATACTGTTCTTGAATCGAAAGCTCCTGTCACATTTCGGGCACTTGTAGGATTTCACATCAGAATGTACAGCCAGGTGTCTAGTTCGGTCTCCTGAAGAGTGTTCACAAGTGTAGGGTTTCTCTCCGGCGTGAAGACGCTCGTGCATTTTGAGGCTGTTTGGGATGCTTGAAGGATCTGCTACAGTATGTGCATTTGTAAGGGGTGTCAGAGGAATGGATCTTCATGTGCGATGTGAGGTGGCTCAACCTTTTGAAGCTGTTCTCGCAGTCTGTGCAATGACAAGGAAGGTTGTCTTGGTGAATGGTTTGATGAGTGTTGAGTTCTTGCTTCCTCAAGAAACTCTTCCCACACACAGAACAGCTGAACGGCTTCTTTCCTGCGTGACTATCCAGGTGGATATCCAAGTCAACCTTATTGATGAACTTCTTGTCACATTGCGGGCACAGAAAGGGCCTCTCTCCGGTATGGGTTGCCCTGTGGACTCTCATAGCTGCCGCGGTGTTGAAAAGCTTCCCGCAGTGATTGCACTGGTGGGGCAGGGTGCCTACGTGCAACCGCAGGTGAGTATTTAGGGTACTTCTTCGAGAAAAGCTTTTCCCACATTGCGAGCAAGAGAATGGCTTCTCCCCCTTGTGGCTCCTCAAGTGGGACTTCAGTCCGCTCTCCCTGACAAACTTCTGCTTGCAATAAGAACAGTCCAACACCTTCTCGCCAGTGTGTAGCCGCATGTGCATGGAGAGCTCATATTTACTGACATAACTCTTTCCGCAGGTGGAGCAGTGGTGTGGCTTCTTCAAGAAGTGCACCTTCTCATGGGTTCTGAGGTCGGACTTTCTTTTGAAACTCTTGCCGCATTTTGGACAAAGGTTGGACCTTAATGATTTACAAGTAGTTGCGGGCGTAAGGTGAGAATTCTCACTAGATTCATTGGGTTTCTTTAAGATGGAACTGGGTGCAGAAATGGTGTCATGTAGCATCACGTCTGTATCTACTTCCTCGTCTCAAGAAGCAGTAAATCATGCATAAATCAAAGGCTTTTAGGAGAAGCAAAGGAACTTGATTCAGTGACTAAGCAAGCAAAATAGATTTAGAGGCTAACTGTTGATTTCACATTTCTTATTTCAAAGCATTTATGTACTAACAAGGCATCTTTGATCTTTAGATTTTTATGAGCACATGGAACACTCACCTGGTTTCATTGGACTGCTCCCTATTAAAAAAATAAACAAGAACATGTTTAGAAAAGGTGTTCTCTACTAGGAAGACATATGCTGACACGTTTGGCATCTTACCTTCACAGAGGCAATGTTCATTTGAGTAGAATTACTGAAATAAATTAACTTTTCCACAACATTCTAATTTATTGAGATGCACCTGTATGTCCATCTATAGGGTTTTCTTCTATGTTTTTTTTTCAATTGGTTCATATTTGACCTCCATCAACATCTGGACCATGGTACTGATGTCCTCTTCTGTCTTGATGCTGGCAATAGTGCTCATTACCGCTGATATGTCCTTCTCTACTGACTACTGTTAGTGTTAGCATAGACATTTACATTTATGCATTTGGCAAACGCTTTTATCCAAAGTGACTTGCATCATATTCAAGGTATTATTAGATCATGCCTCCACACCAGAAATATCAGATCTAGCCCCGGATGCCAGATCCTGTCAGAAAATATCCATTTAGTCTAGTAAAAGAACAACTAGTAAGCAAAGTTGTCTAATACCCAAAACCTGTTAACAGGAAGTCTTGTCTGGTACCCAAAACTCTATTTACAGTCTTCTATCAGCCAAGAAGTTGACTAAGCAAAGCCAGAGAAGAGCAGAAGCAGGAAATGAAGTAATGGTGATAAAAAAGAGCAGAGTTTATTGAATATTAGTTGCGTATGTTTCAATGCTCAGACTTCCAAAAAGTAGTGTTATACAAAACTGCTTCACAACAACATCCCATAAACCTTGAGTTTCCATAAACATTTGGTCTTATCTCTTACTCATTAAGACAAATAAAGCCTTGAAACCACACATCATAAGACTAAACAACAATGGGCAGGGGGAACTAATATAAAAAACAATAATATAATATAAATGACTAATCAATTAATGAATCAATGAAATGAGTATATAAATGGCTATAATGATTATTAGAAATGATTATAAGATTAAATTGAATAATAAAATGATTAAATGATTATACATTAGTGAATGAATGAATGAATGAAGAGTAAATTAACATAAAAGAAATAAAGTAAAACAACACAAACATATGGTTGTTCTCTTGAAGCAAAACACAGTTTGCATTTGAGGATCCTTAGATTCTTCAGTATGCATACATCAGCTCAGTGTCAGAGGTGAGGAACACAAAATGACTAGAAGGCTTTTAGGTTGGAAGCGGGAAATTTCAGCTCAAGTATTACCACCTCCTGACTTCATTTAGAAAGCACCTTAATTTGACTTTGCAGACTTAATACAAAATTATAGCAATCTACTAGATAAAATACTCTTCTAATACTGCTACTATTTATTCCATAAAACGGCAAGACACAGAATCAATGTAAATATCTATACCTGCGTCTCAGCAAATCCCTCAGACACAGTTATTAGTTATTTCACGATCAAAGTAAAAAGTGCAGTTTTCTCTTTAGTAAAGTGTAATGCAGCTCACTTACCATTTCACTTTCTGCATTCCCCACATAGAGTGGTTTGAAGTTGCTGTCTTGAGAGGATTCACCCTCTGAGGCCAAGCGAGAAATACTTAAATGATGTAGAAGAACAGAACAGTGTCTCCCTCAAACAAACAGGACACTCCAGGGACTTGTTGAGCTCCCAGTAGCTCTGTAGACAGTTTTTGCACAAGCTGTGGCAACATCTTAGAACAGGGCTGTCCAAACTCGGTCCTGGAGGGCCGGTGTCCTGCAGAGTTTAGCTCCAACTTGCCTCAACACACCTGACTGGAAGTTTCTATGCCTAGTAAGAGCTTGATTAGCTGGTTCAGGTGTGTTTAATTAGGGTTGGAGCTAAACTCTGCAGGACACTGGCCCTCCAGGACCGAGTTTGGACAGCCCTGTCTTAGAACAACAGTCTTTTAAAGAGGAAGTGCAGAGATAGCAGACAGAATGAGGAAAGGGCAAGGTGGCAGCCATATTGTTGTCACAGTTCAATCAAGGTGAACAATTACATGATGTTAACAGATGATCATAAATCATGTTTTATCAACTAGTTGTTTTGTAAATTGGTAAAATGTGACACAAATGACAGCTCTATCACCAAACTGATCTCAAAGGAACGCACGTTACAGCTGTGTTCTTCCTCTCTTGCCTACTCTGAGTTTAACTGACAAATAATAATCATTTAGGAGCACTAGCTCCATCTAATGGACAGGATGCTTTTTATTGAAAGATTTCTGTACCAATTTTAAAGGTGTAGCATCATTTTTTTATAATGTGAACATTCTAGTAAACGTTCTAGCCACTGGCTAACAAAAATGTTTCCTTTACTGCAGAAAGAACAGTACTACAGATCATAAGGATGCTTACAGATTCTTTCATCTGCAGTAAAACTTGAAATGCTATGAAACTCCATCCAACTGTGTCAGAATAGCAGCAGCAGCAGCATGTACTGATTTTATCAACATAGATAAGAACTAAGCGAAACCACTGATGGGTCTTTTGCTCTGTAACATCAAAGATAAAACAGGTACACTGGTGCTGGATGGGCAGTCTTCATACTTTATATTGCAGTAAGGTTTTCAAACATAACTGAAGTAATTTCACAGTATTCTTAAATCATGTTGGCTGAAGGGAAAATCCCATTGTACCAGATTAAAGACAAAGGTTACTTATTATGCAGTGAGATTTAATTTTAACTAAATTTGACATGCAAAATTACTAGTTGACCCATTTAGACATCTATAGGATAGCATTAACCAGGATTTTCTTTTCAGGCCAGGAAGAATACTTTATAAGATGAAAATGTTCGCTGAAATGTGTACAGCTGTTTCATGATGGTCTAGTATTTATTATTTTTATTTTCATATTAATGATTTGAATCTCACGTTTACCCATCCCTAAACATGGCATAAAAAAGTTAACTGTATTTGGTCATTTTACCTAAGAAAACGTGTCTCTGAATAAAGAACATCTCCACCTTTTTTTTTTTTCCTTTGAAGTCTGAAAAATGTATCAGTATTTGATTTTGCAGAGCACACTTCACATTTTTCATTCAGATGCCTACTTGTTCATTTCAAAATAAAATAATACCTGATGAATCTCCCTTATGTGCATTCTCTTGACTTTTTTTTTTTTTGAAGGAAGGCGGTTATTAAAGGATTCTATATTTAACAGATCTTTGATCTATATAAAAACAAACAATATTATGACAGGACAAATCATTGTAGTAGAGTAGTTATCTTTATTATGAATAATGGCGCCATGATTCATCATGGTTGAACACACAAGAATCAATGTATACCTTGATGTACGGGTAAAATTGAAATGGAAGGTCCAGAATGAAGTACAAAAAAATTTACCATCAATAAAGCACATTTCTCCTTATCTTTCCATCGGTGGTACGCCCGAAAAGACTTTATATTCAGCCCAGTTCACCTAAGACTTCAGCTCTGCAGGTCTAACAGGAACAAATAAAAAAGGTTTGGTCGCTTAAATAAACTTAATGCTTCAGTGCTGAGGGTTTAGTCGTCTAAGAAGTCATCATCCAGATTGACGTCTGTGGTGTCGATGTCATCAAGCTCCATGTTATCCAAATCATCCTCCAATTCATCAATAATCTTAAAATAAATCAGAAAGTGAGGTTACATCAAGTCTGATGTTAATATGGTTTTTTAACAATGTATTTTGACCAAATACCTTCTGTTCTGCTGCTGTCACCTCGGGAAGCTCTTTCTTTGTCTTCACAGCAGGCTGGGATTCTGCATGACTCACAGTAGGCACTGCTGTAACTACTGGAGCCGAGACGGCTGCCGTCACCGAGGCCAAAACACCCACATCCTCCGGTGCCTCCTCTGCATCCTTCACCTGCTGAACACACACAGGTCATTTGAATAGTTCATGCACAAAGATATATGTGAGCACTTTAGACCACCCATTTGCACTGGTATCATGGCCTATAGTGTAATACCATCAACAAAACGAGTGTTTGATAAATACACACACAAACACACACCTGCGTGGAAGTGGGGATAATTCCTTTGGGTTCATAACCAGTGGCCTCCTCCAGCACGTTCCTTTCTTCATTGGGCTACAGAAAGAGAAATGAGAGGAAAAAAAAAAAAAAACTGACATTGGCTACATGGTCACTTTAATTATAAAGGCTCATTATACACAAATGAAATGGATTTGGGAAAAAAAAAAAAAAACTAGTGAAATTGAGCAGTAAGCAGTGATCATCAGTTTTCAAAATCCTTGATCAAGCATTATTATTGTAATGTTTTTAGAATATAGTGTCCCCTATGGGTGTAATCTAGCTATATTTGCTAGTTTTGATTTGACTTGCATAGTGAGTAAATAACCTGCAAAAGCACTGCTTGGATCCCAAATAAGTAAACAGAGAAGGAGATTTTGGAAGACAGTTTTGTTTAATATTAATTAAAAGTAAAACTATTATATGTTTTTGGTAATTGAAATAAAGCTGAAATACAATATAACAATTTGATGAACATCTTACAAATACTACAATTACTAAAACCAAAATAAAAATAAACAAATGTTAAATAGAAATATTAAAAAAAAACTCAAACTAATAAAAAACGCTGAACATATAAAAAAGATAATTCAAAATATTAAAGGGGTCATATGATGCGATTTCAAGTTTTCCTTTCTCTTTAGAGTGTTACAAGCTCTTGGTGCATAAAGAAGATCTGTAAAGTTGCAAAGACTAAAGTCTCAAATCCAAAGAGATATTCTTTATAAAAGTTAAGAGTCAGCCACGCCTACCTAAAACGGCTCATTCTAACATGCCCCCACATGTCTACGTCACTATGTGCAAATATTAGCATAATGTCGCCCAATTGTGCACGCAAAGAAAGAAGGCGTGGTTTCAGGAACCACAGTAGCGTTGATGCAGCCATGTCAGGGAGACACTGTGTGATTCAGTGCGAAAGCAAAAGCACTTTATTTGGCCTTCCGGAAGTAGATGCAATTAGGAATCATTGGTTAAGATTTATTTACAACAGAACAGCACAAC